AATTAACGGTCTATCAATCACCAAGTTAATTACTTCAGTTCTTAGTCATATATTCATTAACATATATAATTTATGCACTCTATGACAACTGAGCTCAAATAGAACGAAGTTTCTTAAATCATCTAAGAGTATCACATGAATCAAATTATCTAGAGCAATGTTCACCGTGTTGGAATGTCGAGTTATCTGTCATAAAAATAACATTCTCCAGACATAATAAAGACCAAAGATAATGTTATACCACAACCTACTTCGTTGGAGGACCAGTTGTTATATCACAAATCTGATATACTTCTTCGTGTTGGGCTTTAAGACTTAGACAGGATCATTATACTAATTATGTGTGATGATAAAGACGGAAGTATAAAAAGTGTAGAGTTGTATCTTTCATTGGATGATATATTGTCTCAGCTTCTCGCCAAACGTCCAATCTTCGTCCAATCGACCCCGAACTCGTTCCCAAACCTTCATTCACGTACTAGGACCTGAAATATCACAAACAAGCATAACCTAGCGTGAAATCAGCCTAAAACACGAGAATCAACATCTTAAACGGCTCAAGAATAGGGGTAAAAACATGTGCATTTAACGGTCTATCAATCACCAAGTTAATTACTTCAGTTCTTTGTCATATATTCATTAACATATATAATTCATGCACTCTATGACAATTGAGCTCAAATAGAACGAAGTTTCTTAAATCATCTAAGATTATCACATGAATCAAATTATCTAGAGCAATGTTCACCGTGTTGGAATGTCGAGTTATCTGTCATAAAAATAACATTATCCAGACATAATAAAGACCAAAGATAATGTTATACCACAACCTACTTATTTGGAGGACCAGTTGTTATATCACAAATCTGATATACTTCTTCGTGTTGGGCTTTAAGACTTAGACAGGATCATTATACTAATTATGTGTGATGATAAAGACGGAAGTATAAAAAGTGTAGAGTTGTATCTTTCATTGGATGATATATTGTCTCAGCTTCTCGCCAAACTTCCAATCTTCGTCCAATCGACCCCGAACTCGTTCCCAAACCTTCATTCACGTACTAGGACCTGAAATATCACAAACAAGCATAACCTAGCGTGAAATCGGCCTAAAACACGAGAATCAACATCTTAAACGACTCAAGAATAGGAGTAAAAACATGTGCATTTAACGGTCTATCAATCACCAAGTTAATTACTTCAGTTCTTTGTCATATATTTATTAACATATATAATTCATGCACTCTATGACAACTGAGCTCAAATAGAACGAAGTTTCTTAAATCATCTAAGATTATCACATGAATCAAATTATCTAGAGCAATGTTCACCGTGTTGGAATGTCGAGTTATCTGTCATAAAAATAACATTATCCAGACATAATAAAGACCAAAGATAATGTTATACCACAACCTACTTCGTTGGAGGACCAGTTTCTATGCTTTAACAACTTCATTAGTGTAAAATCTTGGGTTGAGGAGAAAGAAAAATAATGTAAACCTAAAAGAGGAAATGAGAGAGAATGAAAAGTGGTGAAAAACTATAATGGTGGATTTCACTGTCATATTTCATAGTATCATTTTGTCTCTCATATCATTTCAGAAGAAGAATCTGTTGGACAATCACAAATCTGATATATTTCTTCGTGTTGGGCTTTAAGACTTAGACAGGATCATTATACTAATTATGTGTGATGATAAAGACGGAAGTATAAAAAGTGTAGAGTTGTATCTTTCATTGGATGATATATTGTCTCAGCTTCTCGCCAAACGTCCAATCTTCGTCCAATCGACCCCGAACTCGTTCCCAAACCTTCATTCACGTACTAGGACCTGAAATATCACAAACAACTATAACCTAGCGTGAAATCGGCCTAAAACACGAGAATCAACATCTTAAACGGCTAACGAATAGGTGTAAAAGCATGTGCAATTAACGGTCTATCAATCACCAAGTTAATTACTTTAGTTCTTAGTCATATATTCATTAACATATATAATTCATGCACTCTATGACAACTGAGCTCAACTAGAACGAAGTTTCTTAAATCATCTAAGAGTATCACATGAATCAAATTATCTTGAGCAATGTTCACAGTGTTGGAATGTCGAGTTATCTGTCATAAAAATAACATTCTCCAGATATAATAAAGACCAAAGATAATGTTATACCACAACCTACTTCGTTGGAGGACCAGTTTCTATTCTTTAACAACGTCATTAGTGTAATATCTTGGGCTGAGGAGAAAGAAAATAATGTAAACCTAAAAGAGGAAATGAGTTATGAGAGAGAATGAAAAGTGGTGAAAAACTATAATGGTGGATTTCACTATCATATTTCATAGTATCATTTTGTCTCTCATATCATTTCAGAAGAAGAATCTGTTGGACTGTCACAAATCTGATATACTTCTTTGTGTTGGGCTTTAAGACTTAGACAGGATCATTGTACTAATTATGTGTGATGATAAAGACGAAAGTATAAAAAGTGTAGAGTTGTATCTTTCATTGAATGATATCTTGTCTAAGCCAACAAATATCTCAGCTGTGAAAAGTTAACGTGAGAAGTGATTATTTTCCGTTTCAAAAACCGAAATTCCCAAATCTTCTCCTACACAGCCTCTCGAAAATATGGATTGCCCTTTGAGTTATTAAAACTATTTGGGGAAAAATGCAATGAAAGTGCTATTTCAATTAAGGTTAGTTATGTTGCGAGTTTGATATATTTAGTCAATCTTTTTTCTCTCTCTCTCTCTCTCTCAGTGGCTATGAATAATGCGGCAATGTAATTGAGAATTCAAGTTTTTTTTTTTTTTTGAACATCAAGCAAACCAAAAGAAAGATCGCATTTTTGTCGATTTTTGTGGAATGATGAACACATGTTATCCATTTGTTTATGTGGTACATAATTATTCAGATAAGATACATACATAACTTTAACGTTGTGTTTTAATCATTATGAATTAAATATGTCATCCATTTGTTTAAGTGATACATGCATAGGTTTAATGTAGTGTCTTAAAGATTATATATGTCATCCATTTGTTTAAGTAATACATAATAAATAACTATCACCAAAATATTAGCTAAATTTTTTAATTTTACAAACATTAGCCAAAATATTTTCTGGTGATGATGTTTGATTTCATGCTTTTTGTGAACAGAGGAAAAAGGCAGCTGCTGCTGCTTCTGCTGCTTTGATAGATAAAATATAGGAAGAGGCAGGAGCTGGGCTAATGGTCCATTAAACTTAATTATAAGGCTCTTAGGAAGGAAAAACAGTTGGTGTTGGTACTTGTTGATGACTATGTTTTCTTGTTTTTTTGGTGAACTTTGGTGTAGAAAAAAATTGTAGAACTTTAAGCAACAGGTGCTATGCCAAAGCAAGCAGCACCTAATGATTCTTTAGGACAAGTTTTGAGCAAAGAACATTCAGGTAGGATGCGAGGTATGTGGGCTGGTGTTGTTCCGTCTGAGACCTTTGGTTCTAGCTCGTCTGGATATGTAGGAGAATCATCACATGTTGATTTTGGAAGTGAGCAAATTTTGTGGTCTAAGTTACAACAAAGCTTGGAGAAGAATACGAGGTATGAAGAGTGGTTTGTCAAAAATTTTCAGCAGATTAATATCCCTATTCCATTGGAGCTGGCTATGTTAGTCGAACAAGTAAGTTGTTATTTTGAATGTAAGAACTTTTAGAGGAAATTGTGAGTTTATGCCTTTTAAATGCTGTTTTTTTGTAAATTTTCAGCGTTCTCTTGACACCACTGCTCAACATTCTGCCCACTCTTCGACTGGCGGTCCGAGACAGTAGGGGTAGCACTCCTTAAAAGGTACTAGTTGATATTTAGCTATGTGTTTGTGGGTTTGGTTTTTTGGAGGGTACTCTTTTGACTCCTGCTACTCTTCCATGCAACACATGGGAAACCTTACATGGAAATTTGAAAAGAAAGATGGTATTTAATAAAAGGTTGTCCCAAATTTGAGAAGTCAATAATGAAGGTGGAATACCTTGAACTGTTTGTCGTGTTGGGTATGTCGTGGTATGCATGATGAATATCCAATGCTTTGAAACTGTAAAATTTAAGGATTGTATCTAAACGGTATAGGGAAAAGATTTGTTCATTTCATGGAATAGATTTGATATCATGGAATTTGGTGAAACGGTTTATTATCTTCGCTGATACACACAGCTGAAAAAGGTGCAAATATGAATCGTGTATATATGATGGATCTTTGTTGTTGATTTGTTAATTAAATTTGCAGTGCTGCAAGTTAATGAAGGGTTGCAGCGATAAATAGCAGTTTTTACTTTTTAGTTTGAAATATTATTGAACTTTAGATTGTAAGCTTTTGTATGAAGAGCTCTTCTCCTTCGAAACGTTAGTAAGCACGTACTTTCTTGAGATCGCAGCTCTTAAAGATAGCAAGGAGACGCTTTTCAAGAATATTATCGTATTTTACTTAATGAAATCAAAATAAGAATACAAGATGAAGATTTTTAAACACACTTAATTAACTTGGTAAAATGTTTATTTCTGATGATTTAAGACATGGTACCTCAAACTTACTAATACTTTAAGACCTGCTACAATTTGATGCAATTCATCATCGAAACATTTAGCTAGTTTAATTTGAGTGCCCTTTGACATAAGCAAACTAGAGACTAACTAAAATAAAAAGGGGCAAAAAAGGCTCCAGAAAATTGAAGAACCTTAACTCAACTCAACTCATTTTGTTACTCAACAACAACTCAATCAATCTCTCCATATTCTGAAACGACGAACCACCAACCCTAGTCGCCTCCTCTGCCTTGTTTTTCCACTGCAAGTTAATGAAGGGTTGCAGCGATAAATAGCAGTTTTTACTTTTTAGTTTGAAATATTATTGAACTTTAGATTGTAAGCTTTTGTATGAAGAGCTCTTCTCCTTCGAAACGCTAGTAAGCACGTACTTTCTTGAGATCGCAGCTCTTAAAGATAGCAAGGAGACGCTTTTCAAGAATATTATCGTATTTTACTTAATGAAATCAAAATAAGAATACAAGATGAAGATTTTTAAACACACTTAATTAACTTGGTAAAATGTTTATTGCTGATGATTTAAGACATGGTACCTCAAACTTACTAATACTTTAAGACCTGCTACAATTTGATGCAATTCATCATCGAAACATTTAGCTAGTTTAATTTGAGTGCCCTTTGACATAAGCAAACTAGAGACTAACTAAAATAAAAAGGGGCAAAAAAGGCTCCAGAAAATTGAAGAACCTTAACTCAACTCAACTCATTTTGTTACTCAACAACAACTCAATCAATCTCTCCATATTCTGAAACGACGAACCACCAACCCTAGTCGCCTCCTCTGCCTTGTTTTTCCACTCCATAGCCCTCCTCTTCATTTCCTTCCCCTTCTCCCCGCCCATCAACTCCCTCACCAACCCTTCCACTTCCTCCCTCCTCACCTCCGGATCCAGCTCCATCCCGACTCCCCACTCGTTGCAGGCATAGAAGGAAGTGGTCAGCTGCTCGGAGAAGAAGGGCCAGCACAACATCGGCACACCGTACGACAAGCTCTCCACCGTCGAGTTCCAACCCATGTGGCTCAAGAACCCACCAACCGCACCATGGCTCAGGATCTCCTCCTGACAGCACCACCCGGCCAGCATCCCTCTGTCCTTTGTCTCCTCCACGAACTCCAACGGCAGATCATCATCGGACCCAACAAGGTCGGGCCGAATCACCCACAAGAAGGGCTTTCCACTTCTTGCAAGCCCCCACGCGAACTCGCTCAATTGTTGTGGTGTCATCACTGTGATGCTCCCGAAGTTGACGTACAAAACGGAGTTGGGGTCTTGGGAGTCCAGCCATTGGATGCACTCGGTGTCCTCGGTCCATAGATTTGTGTTGACTTCCTTCAACTCGTCGTGCCCTTTGATCCGGTGAAGGAGTAGGTTGAGAGGCCCGATGGTGAGAATGTTTGGGGAGATCACCGGGGAGAGAGCGGCGAGGATTTGCTGGTCCAGAGCGTCGAATGTGTTGAGAAGGAGGGCGGATCCCTCGGGGACTCGCGAGACCTCTCTCTGGATGTAGTTGAACATGACGTCGTTAGGGTTTGTGGTTCGGACGAAGGAAGGGAGATGTTTCATGCGGATGTTCTTGTTCAGTCCTGGAATGAAGTCGATGGATGTCTCGTCCAGATACCCGTTGGTCAAGTAACTCGAATCTGTGAAGGAAAAAACAACTCGCGTGTGCATGCGCGTTAGGGTAAAGCTGCCTATACTAGAAGACAATTAATTAACGTGACGGACGAGGGGACGATGTTTTTTTAACCTTTGAGAGGGACCAAGCCTTTCTCTGCAAGCAGGTGGAAATGGGCGTGGGTCAAGATCCCGCACGCGCTGGGCGTCAAGAAGAGCGCGTCGGGGATCCCGAGCTCCTTAGCCACATCGAGAGTGAAGCTCATCGAACCATCCGACACGATGCAACTGACGCCGTTTAGCCTCAGAACGAGGTCTCGAAACGGCGCCAAGCAGTGCTTGGAGGTAGAGTCGCACAGAGAAGGGATGTCTTGGGTGGCATCCACGGCGCCGTCGTCGTCGGTTGGCTGATGGAGGCCGTCGGGGATCGTCTGGAAGTTGAAGCCCGGCGGGAGGGAATGGAAAAGAGATGCCGCTGCGCCGCCGCGTCGGGACTTGAGGAGGCGGCGGTGGTTGTACTCGGTGTTGACGAAGGTGATGTGGAAGCCGCGGGAGTAGAGGAGTTTGGCGAGTTTAAGCATGGGGTTTATGTGGCCTTGTGCTGGGTAAGGGATGCAGACGGCGTGAGGGGTTTGGGAACTGGCGGCCGACGCCGGAGTAGTACTCATCACTTTCTCCTTCTCTGCTTCTCTCTCGGCAGTGGGGGGATGAGGTGTACCAAACCAAAGTACAACTAGCTGGATTGTAAGATATGGAGCCTTGGACTCTCATGAATCCTACGTTACATTCTCTATTTTATTTCTTGTTCTCTCCGCCAGTAGAAAAAGAAGAAAAATGAGAGTTACACAAGACTAGCTATTTATTTCATGCGTCTCTGTGCACTTTTGTTTGTTTCTCAAACGACAAAATGAAAGGTTAAAGTGAGTAACGGCAATTCTGCTGTGCGGGCCCAGCCCCGGTGCCTTTTTTTTTTTTTTACAAAAAATAATCATATATTGATCAAGAAAAATAGTTATATCCGGGATACCAGCCAGGTCCGGAAATCAAAAGAAAGATACATAGTGGGGAATAAAGAGAGGGCTTTATGAGCCACCAAATGGGCTACCCTATTGCTACGCCGACCTACAAATCTAAAACTAAACCCAGGATTACCAGTAAAAATCTGAATGAGCTCATCTAGCACTGCACCCAAGCAACTATCTCTTCACGCCTAACCGGATATAGCCGGGTTTTTTTGTTTTTTTGTTTTTTTGTTTTGCCGGTTAGTATACTGTTTACTGTTTAGTAAGACAAACAATTTTCTCCTCATTATAGTTCTAGGTTACTAAATTATTTTTTCGGCACATAAAATTTTACACAGATGTAATTTATTTGAATTTTGTATTTTATGTCCCAAACTATTTTCTAATTTGAATTCCTTTTAAAATTAACTAGAATTTGTATACCACTAATTTTGAATTGAGAAATCTCTTGTTCGACTTCTTGAGTAGTACTTTATTATAAATATTAACTAGCACAGAGGCCGGCCAAGTTGTTGTCATTGTAGTACTTTTTATTTTCTATTAGTTTTATGAAAGTTTTTAGCAGCAGAGTTAGTGGAATTAATTGACAACTATTTCCAATCACTGACAATTGGCAAAAAGAAGTCGAGGATACATAATTTCTAAACAAACTGCAACTGATGAGCTTGCTCAGTTTTCCAGTGGTAGTAGTTTGGATTATTGATATAGGAAAACAGACAAAGCAATCCAGGGGATGCAATACAAAATAGATAGGGCAATGCCTGCAAGATAAAAGCCTTTTAAGAATATAATATTACATTGAAGGTAGGTCTATGCCACCAATGAAGATTTGCAAACGTCTTACTATGGAAAAGGGGATAATCGAAATGAAGTTAACCGGTTAGGTCTACAATTGAAGAAATTTTAGTGTGTTGTTTGGCAATTTCGTATGAGTACTCATTAATAGTGTTTTTCATTTCTCTCCGTCTTACATAAGCAATGAAATATATCAAAGTTATTTAATTTATATACATATGGTTCAGGCTAGCATACACCTTACCGTATGACTATTGAGTTTTGTTATTAAGACCATTATTTATCTAGAATTTGGGACATTATACCATGACCTAACCTCTTATGGGTGAATCCAAGTCCCCAATTTTTCTAACTCAAACCATAAGATTCATTTTATCTTAAAATGAAAACCAACGATTCTGATTCGTCAATATTATCAAAGTACAATAATAAGTTTGAACGCAAGCGTATAGCGTACGTCAGGCATATGCTAGCTTTTGTCATATATATATGGTGGTATGCCATACCTTTAATTTTAACTAAGGTACGATAGAACCACCTATATATATATATATATATATATATACATACACACACGAGCAATTTAGTAAAGGGAGCGATGATAAATGATGATTCAAGTTGAAATATATTTAGATGTTAGTGATACATCAAAGTAATACTTCCCTGGCAATGATAAAGCAATTTAGTAATTGGAATATGCTAATTGTAAGTGGGAATGGGAATATAATTGTGCAATAGTTAAAAAAATTCAAAAATGACATGCCACTTGTTTGTTCCACATATACTGAAGTAGGTACACAAACATAAAAATTCGTTTAATCTAAAAATGAAAATCAACAATTCTGAAGTAGGTACACAAACCACAGTTGATTGAGGTTCATCGTGTATTACAACTTTAAATTCATAAATTAAGGAGTATTTCAGTACCATTATGATCAAAGGTCCCCTAATGCACATGAGTTGAGGTGAAGAAAGTGAATTGGACATAACATCTAAAACATTAAAGTAGACTTCAAATGACAATAGTAGTGAAAAAACTAACTCTAATAGTCACTACAAGAAAAAAGAGTTTCAGCTACCATTTTCTTGGCAACCATAGAAAAATGGTTGCTTATAACCAAGTTTCGACAATCATTCACAAAATAGTTTCTAATGCCAAACTCTAGTGCAACCATTAGTAAAATAGTCGCTGATAGGTCAAAACTTCAGCAACCATTCGTAAAATGGTTGGTGATGCCTGACTCTCTAGCAACTATGAGTTAAATGGTTGATAGTAAACCAATACTTCCGCAACCATTCAAAATATGGTTGTTGATACCCTACTCTAGTGCAACCATTAATAAAAGTGTCGCTGATAGTTCAAAACTTCAGCAACCATTTGTAAAGTAGTTGCTGATACATGACTCTCTAGAAACAATGAAGTAAATGGTTGACTCTAGATCATAACTTCAACAACTATCAAGAAAATGATTGGTGATATTCTACCTGTGAGCAACCATGAATTAAATATATGCTAATAGACCAAAGCATCATCAACCATTTTAGAATGATTGGTAATACGCATCTCTTGAGCAATCTTAGTAAAATGGTTCGTAGATTCTTTCAAAGTAAATTAATCATGTGTTAAGGATGTAAAGGAACAAATTAAGTTTGGTAGTTGTTGATATCCTACCCTTAAGCAACCATGAGGCAAATAGTTGCTAATAAGTCAAACCTTCGGCAACTATTTTGTAAAGGGTTGATGATACCCCATTCTTAAGCAACTAAGAGCGAAAGAGTTGTCGATAAACAAAAACTTCAACAACCATTGATAAAATGGTTGGTGATAGCCTAACCTTAAGCAACCATAAGGTAAATGGTTGCAGATATATCAAAACTTTCGCAACCATTTAGAAAATGGTTGGTTATACTTTTTTCCTTAAGCAATTGTAAGAATTAATAAAATGTCGTCGACAAAGGAATACTTCAGCAACTATTGAGAAAATGGTTGACGATGCCCTATCCGTGAGCATCTCTTAAGCAACCATCGACAAATAGTTGGCGATAGTCTCGGGCCAAATACCAAACGCCATCGTTTTATTGCTGAGGGAAGTGTGAAAAAATAAATCTGATTCTCCTTCCTTCTTATGCCCATTTCAATTCCAAAATTGAAACATAATTTCGCTTCTTCTTCTCCGGTTCTATAAACAACGCAGCTGAGACGGCATCATCTCCCTCCAATATCCTCCACGTCGGGGGCGTCTCCCTAGTCTTCCCTTGTCGTCGCCTGGCTTTCCTTCGCTGGGGACAGAGAGATGGTGAGAGCACAACGGCGGGGTGGAGAGCAGTTTCCGACATCGAACGACTTCCGCTGCACTCTCCTATTCCAAGGTGAGACCCGAGGGCGACAACAGAGCATTTTCACCACCATCTCCTAGCTTCCCTTCGTCAGCGTCGCCTCCGAGGAACCACCTTCCTCGTCAGTTTGTTGTAAGTAATCCCTCTCTTGGGTTTTGATTGCGATTATGGGTTTATCCCCACCTCCCGTTCTGTAAGGAATCCCAGATCTCCGGATACCGAAGTCATCGTTGAGGTTAGGAATCCAAGCAATTTCAAGTTCGTTAGATTTCGAATGATACGCAGCTTGCTGATTTGCTCACCAAAGGCTTTCTTGATACCCATTTCTGTTTGCTGAGTTCCAAGATATATAGTCCTTGCTGACGTCGGCTCTATCTTACGGGGCGTATTAGGGACAACTCTTTGTCCTCATGAGTTTTGTGTTCCTTGTTAGTGTTGTAATTAGTTGCCCACTTCATCTTGTACACTGTAATTATGATGGGTATAAATATACCCTGTGAATATCAATAATACTCACGTTTGGTCAACCTTATAAAGCACTTGCTCACCTTTACTCATATTCGTCAAGTGCAAGCTTGGGAAAATCGACGAGTCAAGATAGGGTGAGTAACAATGAGTAACCAAATTTGGACCCTTCTTTTAAGTGGCTGCAGATCTAAGGGTGGAGAATTAAAGGAATTTATTTTCCCTAGTTTTCTTAATGGGATCATATCTTCTTTATTCTAACTCAGATTAAATTTTTTTTTTGCACAGATGGAACGAGTTTGTTGTACTCTACAAAATGATATCCATTTTCAATATTTTTTTGCACAGATGGAACGAGTTCGTTGTGCTCTACAAAATGATATCCATTTTCAATATTTTTTGAGAAAAAAATTTCCATCCCTCTCGTTACCAACTCCATACCATATGGTATCTCCTTCGTTGTTTAGTCATTTTTGGAAATTTTTGCACAAAAGCAACGATTTAATCATGATCTATTGGATTTCAAAATTTTATGGGAAAAAAAATTTCATACCTCTCGTTACCAACTCCATACCATACTATACCACCCTGGTATGTGGTATTTTTTATACCATATGGTATGCTTTTATTTAATACCAGTCAATACCATATGGTATTGACCGGTAATAACTGGCAATTTTTTTTTGTTCCAAAAAATATCAAAGTAGATATAATTTTGAATCGTTACCAACTCCATACCATACTATACCACCCTGGTATGAGGTTGTATTTTTTATACCAACTCCGTTTCTTTTAAACTAGAAGAACATAAGTAGAAGGAGAATCGAGGAGAGATAGGCCGAATGAGGTCAAGAGATTGACACGATTGAAATAGACGGCTAGGAAGGAACGAAGTAGCTCGACTGAAAGGAGGATGATAAAAAGCTTAACACCCTCATTCTTATTAGTTTTTAATACCAGTCAATACCATATGGTATTGACTGGTAATAACTGACAAATTTTTTTAGTTCCTAAAAATATCAAAGTGGATATCATTTTGAAGAGCACAATTAATCTGATCTAACTATGCAAAAAAAATTCCGAGTTAAAACGAGTGAGAAATCGTCCGTTAAAGATTAAGGGAAAGAAAATTAATGATTTTTTCAGGACAGAGAAAGAGGCGCTGATGTGCCAGATTCTTATTAGATTATACAATGGGGTTACTCACCACAAGATTACTTACCAGATCTCCTCCCAAAATCGTTTATGGGGTCGCGAGAGACGGTTTAATCTTTCGAGGTTTGGCAAAAATCTCATACTTTCTCAATTCTTGACAGCTTAATTAGTCGCAGATAGGTGCTCATGAGTGGCCCGTAGAATCTAGATATTGATGTGTGCAAGTGTATTACATAAAGAAGTGGGATCCAGGGTCTGGAGCAGTAAGTCTCGGCCAGAGATCCCTCTTGCGTCTGGTTTTTGGATCTCCCTCTTGAATATGCAACGAGTATGATTTTGACCAGACTTGCAAGTAGTCTAGGGAAACCTTTTAGTTCGATCAATCAACAATGATGAGGCGTAGACTGGGTTACCCAAAGATATGCATATATATAATTCTGTAGGGATGTAAGGTCCGGTTAAGTTAAATTTGGTCCGAATTGATCCGGTCCCAGTCCGGTTTTTTCGGAATATAAGGATCAAAGATTGGATTGGATACAATCCGGTCTTGATCCGGTACGGTTCCAATTTGGTCTTGATTCTAGATTGAACTTGTGGGGATTTGAGTAGCTTGAGGCCTCAAAGGGTGAGGAGTTGGTTAAGATTGGTTGTTGGGCTCTCTTATTCGATCTTTATTTGCTTTTCGATCCGGTCCAAACGATTTTTTACCTAAAATCTAAGCCTGAAGATGTGATTGGATTGTTTGCTATCCGGTCCCGGTCCAGGTTATACGGTCCGGTTTCGGGTAAAACCAATGTCTAAGTGAATACAATAATAAACCAATTAACTATACTTTTTTTTTGCAATAAAAAAAAATGAAAGAGCAGTTTAGGCTAAGAATCATAAGGCAATTGTAGAAGAGACGAAAGGCACTAGCATAAGTTAGTAAATACTCCGTTTCATACACGTATATGTACCCGTACGTACTTTATCCGTTTAAAACTTCCGTATTCGTATTATTGTCAAGTCGTTTCATTAGTTTCCGTTCATTTGACGACTCCCCTACTAAACACGTATAAAACCCGTATAACACGTTTAATATCCGTATTTAATAAAATAAATTAATAACTTTACTATTTTTTACATGTTTATTTATTTATAAAATAATTAATTTTATATATTTATGACTAATAACGTACTATTAAACGTAACATTAGCTAACAGACGAAGTATAACACCCGTACGTATTTTAAGAAGCAGGTGGAAGTACATGGGGTGAATAGGATGGTACGACAAGTGCTCGTTCAACAATTTTCGTGAAACGCAAACCCATATCTATCTATCTACAAGTATATAGATAGTTGAATATTTTTTATGTACCCTCGTTTAAATTTTATTGCAACGAGAGCGAAAGTAGGAAGGATATTTTTGTCTTCACAATGATCTATTTGTTTCTCATTTATTCTTAAAAAAAATAGACATACTAGGATTTGAACCACAACCTTTACCAATCATACTACATAGATTAGTTGTATCATTTGAAATAAAAAAACATACATGAAGCTAAAATTAAAAAATCACATAACTTTTCAACGGTTAGCTAAGGTCGCTAAAATCTTCGCTCAGTACTTATTGGTGTTTTGAAACTTCGATTTTCATATTTAATTATTTTAATTATACTTTAATACTGATTTAAATTTAAATTTATCTAATAAATAGACGATAACTTTAAAATCATAGACCAAATATCATTGGTTCAATATTTCAATATAGAATGTGTAGAAGCGATGTTGAACTCCTACATTAATATTAGTTTATAGAACTACTATGAGGCAATCATATCCATATCTTTCTGCAAACTATATGGGGACAGGTTCTTTGAACGTTTTTAGCTCGGTTAACCGTTAAGTTTTAAACATCTTCCTAATCCGACAGCATGATGGATCCAACAAGCATTGGATGATGTTGAGTTTAATAGATTGGTTTATTTCATCATTTTATGTATTAAAATGAATTTGTAGAGCAAGGACATGTGTACATATACACTCTAAACAATATATACAATTGGCACGATAAAATTGTCGTCTCATTTCGAATTTCCTACAACGAGAGCAAAAGTATGAATGACATTTTGTCTTCGCCATTATTTATCTTTATTTTGTATAGAAAATAGACAAGTATTGAGATTTGAACTAATGTATCTTCAAACACAGACAAAAGTCATTACCATGATTTTCAATTCGAATATGACTCTGTTGGTCGAACCAATTATATCTAAACTTGAGTATCTCAGTGGGTGCCGAAGGCCTAGTTGGTTGTCTACTTATGTTGGGTCAAAGTCGAGTTTGTCTATCTTAGTGGGAAATCCAACTGATTCGAGCACCAGCCACTTCGAAATGATGTTGTTTTCAACTATTCGCATACGTAGCTACACTGTCATATCATCCTTTCATTTATCACAGAACTTTACAAAATGAAACATCACAGACCATGTTCGACTATCCCATCGTCTCTTCTTCTTACTTTAGATTTGAGAGCCTACAATACACGACCAAACCATCTCAAAAGCTATCATAATCCCGCTATAGAAAATTTCATTTTTCTCCAGCTGCACAGTCATAGAGACAGTCGACCTCGTCTCATACAAATGCGAAGCAAAAATTATTAAGAAGCATGCATTTGAGTTGAAACTTTAGGTGACTAACAAAGGCCAAATTCATTATCTTAATTATTATTTAATACTTAATTGAATTTTTATAAATCTTATAAATAGAGGATAAATTTAAAATCACGTGCCCAAATATCATTGGTTCGAATATTCCATATCAAATTGTTGTGTTGAATATGTAAAAGTGATGTATAATTCTTAAATTAGTATTAATTTTTAGACCTACTATTGCATAATCGTATTCATATCTTTGTGTAAATTATATGGGAATGATTCTTTGAACATTTTAGGAGTTTAATAATTTAGGACTGATTCTTTTCCAATTCTGACATGATTGGATCCAACAATCATTAGGAGTTTAATAATTTGGTTCATTTCACCTTTTTTCAATGTGCTAATGAATTTTTTGGGAAAAGACATGTCTTTATATACACCCTACACAATATATAATACTAAAATGAGAAAATTGTTGTCACAATTCAAATTTCCTACAACGAAAACAAAAGTAGGAATTATATTTTTGCTTCATAATTATTTTACAGAAACTACAAACTTCCAAAATCCAGAAATTGTTGCTCAAACTAAAAATCAGAGCATCGAAAATCAATGTTCGCAAATTTTATTTCATATATCACTTATTTGAGAGATTTTCTCTCTATAAACAAAGTAAAATTAAACAAGTTATAGCCAAATCAATAACTTTGGCTTGAAGACGATGACCTGATTCTTCGTGGGAGAAAGAAATACATGCGATATTGTCAAAGATCTTGAGAGCAAAGACGAAAAGGATACACTACGAGTTCGTAAATGAGTATTGTGAAATAGATCATCAAATCACAGGCTTGGGGCTGAATAAAATGATAGGAGGTTAGTTAGATAGCCGATGATATAGAATTTGCCAATTTGGTACATCTACAGGAGATCTCCAGAGTCGGCTTAAGAAACAAAGAATCGAAGAGGACAAAAAAGATATAGACTCTTTTATTAACAACTAATTGAGTGCATGGGGTGGATAAAATATGCATTAATTTCTCTTTTACTTTAAAAAAAAAAATAAAAAAAAATAGTATCGTAAAAATTTTTGGGTTTCTATTCACCTTTTGAAGTTTTTCTTTTTCGGGCCTAATTAGATTATTTAAAGTTATTATTCTACTAAAATGATTTTATTTTTTCCACTGCATTGATGTAATATTTTGACCAAAACATGTTAGTAAGTTAAATGATATATTAATTAAAATAATATAA